GAAGGAGATGAGCCAGTCAGGGTGCAGTACAGCACCATTGAAACATACGACTTTCCTCTAGTTCTTTAATGCTTCCTCCCCCCACTATTATGACCCCAATTCTACTTTACAAATCTGGCTAGACCAGAGCATGCCCACGGGTACAGATATGAGCTGGAAACACAGGGAAACCAGGACAGATAAACCTCTCAGGCCTAATATTTAGAGTAAGTGATACCAGGAGGGTAAGGGGAAGGTGGGGGGAGAAAGGGTGCACTGAGCACAGTGATGTACATGTAACGCCCTACCAGGAGGATGGACAACCAAAAAGTGGGTGAAGGGAGACATGGCTCAGAGTAAGACATGAAAACATAATAATAATTTATAAATTGTTGAGATAGTTAAAGTTTATTGTGGCAACCTGGCTGATAAACTCATGTGAGGTTAATTGAAGGACAGCTATAAATGGCTCGGTGGGCCTCACCTTTCTGGTTCTCGGGTCTCTCTGCTTTCTGATGGACGGACCAGGGTGCAGCTGCCTTAGCCAGTCCTCTGCTTCAGCTGGCAAGGCTTACTTCGTGCAAGACATCCCTGAGGAAAAGTCACATGGACCTACCCCGATGCAGCCCTGCGTGCTGAAGTAGCTGTATGGAGACCCCTGCCAGTGCTGAGATGTTTACACATTCACTGACCTGGCTTTCCTCCTGCAGTCGGCATCATAGTGTGTGTTTTGTGAGATGGAGGAGGACTTTGTGGATTGGTGTTGGACATATGGGCTAATGTTGGACTTGTGGGCTTGGGAAGCACTGGGTTGGGATGTTTTCTTGATGTGCACTTACCCTTTATATAAAACTCTCTCTTATACATAAGAGTTACTGTGGTTTTGTTTCTCTAATGTACCCAGACTAACACAATTATCAAGGGTTCATGAGGGAGAGAGGAGAAAAAATGAGCTGATAACAAGGGCTCAAGTAGAAAGAAAATGTTTTGAAAATGATGGCAACATGAAGGTAAACAAGCAGCCATGTAGCTCAGAAGCAACAAAGCCCACATGGAAGAAACACAGCAGCCTGTGTGATCACGAGGTGCTGAAGGGACCAGGTATCAGGCATCATCAAAACAAA